TAGCCTTAGTAATCCTGAAGACATTGATTAGCTTGTTCAGGTGTGTTTGATTAGGGTTGGAGCTGAACTCTGCAGGACTGCGGCTCTCTAGGACCGAACTTGCCTACCCCTGGTTTATACCATGCCATAAAAATTTGCTCACAGCATCTTTAAATAACAGAAGCTTGGAATAACTGTGTAACTCAAAAGAGGGACTTTTTAAAAGACAGATTTTAATTTAAGTTGACGTCAAAATGACGCCAATATATGACAAAACATGCTGTAACAATATCAAAAACTGCAGGACATTTCCACCCCCCCATCACTTCCTCTAATAAAAGAGCTATAATACAAAATCTCCACTGTGGTCCAATGCACCGATCCTGTTCAGAATTGGTCATTTAAACATTAAAACAGAAGAAAGGTCCCAAATAAGGATGAGATCTGTGTGATAGTGAAAGTGACTTGACATTCTGTTCAATTGTGATGACCAGACCACCACAGAGAAACTAACTGAATTAATGAAAACCCTTTCCCTCTCAGCACAGTAATCAACATCCACTGACCAGACGGATGTGCCGTCCACACATTCTACAACACAAATGGGCCGTTCCGGAGAATCTGGACAAAAAGAGCTGCACTATTCAAATGCAAATAACTGATTTGTTATGTTAAAGGGGTAGCTTGTTCAAAAAGTCAAATTAACTGGATTTGGCATCCAACACAGGGTTTAATAACCCAGATAATTTAATCTCATATTTTGATCCCTCAGGTTTTTGTATTTTTTAAATACAAAGGTAGGGATAATTTCAATTATAAATCCCTAACATCCATATCCAAAATTAAAATAATAAATGAAATGCTCCTGATTATATAAAAAAAAAAAAAAGGGAAAGCAGAAAATCAGACTAGCTTTAATTTTTGAGGGAACATCTTTAAATTCAAACGTGCTGTTCACACTAGTGGAAAGGATCTTATCTTAAAAAAATAGGGCACCTGAGGTTTTTTTACACACATTTTTAGCTTCTGTCCATGTTATCCTCCATTCTGCCAAAACCACAAACTCAACGTTTAGTTCTGCAGCAGTATGGGACATTCGCAGTCTATGAGGACCTTGTGTGACGGTTCTAGCGTCGTCTGAAGGCTCTGGATATTCTCCAAGCATTTGGTTCCTCGTAGCGGTTGTAAAGGGGCTCCAACCGCTGCTGTTTTTTCTGTTTGCTGAGGCGTGTGGGATCAGAGACTTTGAAGAAAGCTGGAGAAAATTCTACAAGCCACCTCGGGTCAATGGTGGTCACCTCCCTCATGTACTCCTTGGTGGTCAGCACAAGCTCATGATACACCACCCTGAGGAGAAGAACGCGGTGAAACTAGCTTTAGTACAAGCAGCATGGATACTAGTGTAGTTAATCGCTTTTTTCAAACATACCATTCTGGTTGGCGATTGAACAATGCGCTGGAGGGGTGGATGTAGACCACCTGCTGGTCTATGAGGGTCCTGTAACCTTCTTGAGGGTCCTTTTTGGCTGCGTTTCGGAAGAAACCACTGCAGATGGCCTTCTGTACACGAACTGTGGCTTTACCGCATGATACCACATCCAACTTGTGTCTGAAGAGAGATAAATTTGTAATTATGGAGTGTAAAGGCCCGTTCACAACAAGGATGATAACTATAACAATAAAGTTTAAAAAAATCATTCTAATTCTATGAGAATAAGGAAGTTTACACCACAACTCTAACAATAACGACACAGGAATGACATCAATGGAATCACTTCCAGAAGAATTTTTCCTATAAAAAAAAACAAACATCTAGCCAATCGGAATCCACTCAACTTTAAAGAGCTTGAGCAAAGCAGCGACGACATAACCGCAGCTCATACTTAGTTATCTTTACAGCTATTGCTCTTGGTGTGAACAGGCCTTAAGGCTTAGGTTGTGTAAGTCGTATGAAGTTATTGTTATTCTCAACCCCTCACCTGTCCATGATGCCCAGCATCTGTTTGCGGATATCCTGCGCACGCCTGAGAGATCGCGCCTGGATGAAGTTTTCGTAAATTAATCTCAATAGGGAATCTGCATTCATCTCACTTCTGAGGCCTATCTAATCTAAACACAGTACTGTGGTTCAAGAGATTGCTTAATAAAGACCCAATATTACTACTATACCATGTGAACAGTCTGTTTCTTATGTTTGCAACAAACGCAAAATGCACTAACAGGTGGTGTTTACCTGTAACTCATTGATGTAGTTTTTTTTTGGGATGTGCCTTTTTTGTTTCGTTTTATGCCTTTATTTAGATAGGACAGTATAGGTCGACAGGAAGCGACGTGGGTGAGAGAGACTGCAGAACATGAGATTCAGAGAGCGAGATAGGATCCAAAATTCCAGATCCAACTTCTCCCACTTTACATATCCCTAAACCTACCCGTCTCCACCCCCTGGACGTGGATGTAACCTACTAACCTTGCCCCCTGGATCTTGTGTACTGCAGTGAGGGGCTACTGGGCCCACGAGGCCATTGGTGCTGACAACTGATGCAGTTTACTAGAGAAACCTATTAATTAATGAATAGCACAGTTCTAAATCTATAAACATTCTTTTTGCACAAACTGACCTAAACTCAAACACAATTTTGTAATGTAAAGTAACCTCCTGTATAAATCTTAAGTTCATAACATTTCTTTAGGCAGATTGTTATATTTACCACACATTCAAGTGGCGGTGGAATGACCTATGAACAGTAAGACTTATTCAATTAATATTTAAAAGATCTGTATGCAATGTTATCCGTTCTAGAACTTTACTGAGATAGAGGCCTTTTACACAGAACATCTGTTTGCGGATATCCTGCGCACGACGCAGAGATCGCGCCTGGATGAAGTTTTCGTAGCACCAGGGGTTGGAAAACTTGTTGTTCTTCCAGGAGTTGTAGACAGCCAACAAAGTCAGATGGTCCCCCTCAGGCTGGTGAAACTTGGCCTTCTTCTGGTCTGCCAGAGCTTGTTTGTCCTGAGATTTAGAGTGAAATCTTGATTACTATCTTTAGGATCAGTCTGCTAGGATACCTAAAACTCTATGCAAAGATGTAACTGTTCCTTGACCATTCATGGATCTGTTAACGTGTGTGGGCTAAAGGAGTACCTTTGGTCTGTAGAAGACATTCTGTACTGAAAGCATTGACACAATGGTCAGCATCTCTTCGCTGCAGCCAAGATGGACGGACATGATCAACATCTTACAAAGCATGGGCTCCAGAGGAAACTCGGCCATCTGATAGGAACAGTGACAAGAAACTTAATACTTCATTTTGAAAACTGAGCAGCTACAACCAAATCCGTTGAAAACCGTAAGAAAAGAGACACATGCAAACTTACTCTACGACCGAGGCGTGTAAGCAAGCCTTCATCATCCAATGCTCCCAGAGTGTACAGCTGCTCCATGGCTGTGATGAGTGTCTCCATGGGCGGAGCATCCATGAAGTCAAATGACAACAGGTCATTGATGCCCATTGCCTGATTGGAGGACAAGAAAAATTCTCAGCTTATCTGCACATGCCAGAATTTTAATATTGTCCCAAGATGACTCAACATTAGAACTGTTGAATTGTACCTTTAGAGACAGTACAGTGCTGGCCAAGTTAGTTCTCTGAATCTCAGCTTTTACACAGAACGCGTTTTTTTTTTTTTTTTAACAATGTGCTGCTTTTCCATTTTTTCTAAACATGTGCTCGCGTCTTTTGGAGCAGTGTTCTAAAAATATTCACACGCTCTTGAGATTTCACAGGTTTTTTTAACCGTTCCACTGCCCGAGTCCCGCGTTGTTTATCAATGCAAAAACGTGTTCTGTGAGAAAGGTCTCCATCTTTCAAAATCATTTTACCTTTCAAAAAGAAGCATAGCAAGCTCTCAGCTCCCTCCAGCGACAAAACCCAAATTAACATTCTCAAAATGATGTTCACCCTCTTCTAATTTTTGGTCTCGTCATATTTTTGAGTTTTTATTTTTCCTCTGGCTGTGTAATCCGTTGTTGACAGGTGAGAAATAGTTAGCACTTCATCTTTCGCGCTCTGGACTTCCGTCTATACCAGGGGTAGGCAAGTTCGGTCCTAGAACCGTAAGAAAAGAGACACATGCAAACTTACTCTACGACCGAGGCGTGTAAGCAAGCCTTCATCATCCAATGCTCCCAGAGTGTACAGCTGCTCCATGGCTGTGATGAGTGTCTCCATGGGCGGAGCATCCATGAAGTCAAATGACAACAGGTCATTGATGCCCATTGCCTGATTGGAG